TACGAAGTGCCCTTTGGGGGATCGACAAACCGATCGCCAACCGATCGCCCGACTCGTCGCCTGAAAACAAACGTGTTTGTTTTCATTTTTCAGGCGACCGAATCGGGCGATCGGCCCGATCCAGCCGTAATGGGCACCTCGTATTAAGCAACGAGTCGGGCGATCGGTTTGTGTCACTATAGCCGCTTTGCGCTCTCAATCTGGCCCGCAAACCGAACCGAACCGATCGTGCCGGTGGGCTCCCGGAATTAAGCTAGATCCACACTGGCGTTGGGCTCGGCGGTCAGACCCGACCCGACGATTTTTTTGCCGCCACAGGTACCCGACGGTAAGACAACATCAGTAAATAATAGACAATGACGTGTAGTATGAGGAAAGAGTTGTTATTCTTTGTTGTGGTTAAGAAGAAAGTTACGAAGACACAGCAGATCAAGACGATTTTGGTTCCATCCCGTACATCAAAAGCTGAATCCCTTGGAAAGTTCCATCCTCTCTATCCACTACTCCTCCAACACCGTGAAAAGTTCATTAAATTATACTTCCGAATGAAACCAAGTTCGTTCAATGATTTGCTACCTCTTTACATGGATTACAAAATCCTATTTATAGACATGTGATGGGGAAAACGGGGGGAAGGGTAATAGAAGCAAGGTTTACGAAAATTATCCCTCTTCCGGTCGACTCAACAGAGTGGAATGAACATGTTCTTTCCTAAACGCTCTGGTCCGGGGCGTCCGGTTTCGATGTGGGTGGATTGGCGGAGGGGGGAGGGTGTTAATTACCTATCGTTAGGCCTGCTGTTCTGCTGATGTTCATTCTTTTGCATCGGGAAACGGTCTGCTCTGACCGTCCAGCCTGACGCCGGTGTGGGTCTACCCTTGACGGACGGAGCACACTCTGGTGGTGGGTGTAGTGAGGTTTCCCCAATTGGCACCCCACTTTGTCCACTCAATCAGTTCCGACTGGCGGATGGAGTGGCCTGCTACACCCAGTCAGATGTGACCGTTATTGTGACCGGGTGTGGGTCAATCTTCGTCAGAACGCCAGGAATCCTGCTCAAGTTCTATTTTTGTTTGTTTGTTTGCAGTTTGTGCTGGGTTGTTGTTGTTGTTTTGTTTTTTTTGTTTTTTTTGGGGGGGGGTTGGGGGGAGGCGTAGTGTTTTACGGCCCTCGCAACTGCATAAGGTCATATCAGCGCGCGCGTCACATTACATATTTTCAGTTTGGGGAAATTTTGAATTTTGCCCGGTGGTGGCCGAAGCCTGCTCTTATCGAATTTGTGTGCGTGTGTGTGTGTGTGT